CAGCCAAAGCTTGCTGGTTTCAGTTTCCCCCTTCCCCTTGGGTGCAGTTTGCAGACTGCTTAAATCTTGTCCTGTAAAAGTCAATTCTTTCACTTTGTGAGTTCAAATGTTGCCATGTCAAAGGTCTCCCAGTACTTGTCGTTTAGTTTCTGCTTGCTTGCTTGATACTTTTGCCTGTGCTCAGCGTAGCAAGCCAGGTTTTGCTTCAAAGTATTGAACTTCAATTTCACATTTCAGTAAACAAGTTTTTTTTGTTTGAATTTTTTTGTTGTTGTTTTCAAAAAAGATTCAAGACTTTGAAGTTTGTTCAGCAACTGAAATTAAACTAAGACTTAAAGCAAGCAGAAGCAAACAAAAGGTAATTTTTAGGAAATAACCTTTCAATTTTAATTAGCTTTGACTTTACTACTCCACATACTTGAGTAAACAAAGACAACATAGAACATAATTCTATCTTAAATTATATCAACGGAATTCAAGCACCTTGGGGCATAGAGGGTTCACATAGCCTAGACTGGCCTTCAACTGTATATACAGCTAAGGATGACCCTGAACTATCAATTCCTCATACCTCCCCATCTCCTAAATACTAAGATTGTGTGTGTGGATCATTGCCCTTCCCTCAAGCACAATTTTAAAAGTTGTATTTACAAGACCAACAACAACAACAGAATCTAGATTGAGCTGGCTAGCAAACTCTGAAGCAGACTATGTAAAAGAACTCAAAACGCATGAAAAATTAATTTCTTCATTTCTATAACAGGTCAGGTAAGAAGAAGGTCAGTATTTTCACTTATTTAAGACTTAAACTAATGTACTGCTAAAATAACAGCCAGAACTAATAAAAGTGAGTAGTAGCAGACAGGATGCAGATTAAGCACTAAACTACAATTTCTCCCTAAGACAGGATTAATGACATTCAACACACTTTTAGTAACTGTAAAGAAACATTTTCACTCATATCTGAAAAAGGATATACCTTAAAATGAATAGCATCTTATAACCATAGCATTTTTTTTTTCCTTTTTCTGGTGATAGTTTCTAGGAATCAATGAGGTGATGTTTTCAATGAACTGCACATACATTTGCTTCAGATGTTGTTAGGTTAGGCCTTCATAAGATGTGGACTACATTGGAGGTACCCTGAAACAACCATGGGAACTCCACAATCACAGGAGAGGGCAGTGGTTTTCAAGAGTTGGACAGTGTTGTACCATGTTGCAATGTGCTGTTCTTAACTTGCCTAAATATGTGGAATTGTGGCATCTATCCATTTTTAATTAATCCCCTAAAACTAATACCTGACAAATGTCACCCACTCACAGGAACTAACAATTACTAACTCAATCAGAACAAGACTACAAGAACACCTGCAGTCTTGTATCTCTGGGGCTAAGGCAGTAGAGCTGCAATTCTAAGGGGATACACTGGGCTCAAAGTGAGGTAACAATGCGATAAATCATTTGAAAACAAACATATTTCCAAATAATGATGTAATCAGTCTTGAACTGAATAAAAATCAAAATACTAAACACTATTTTAGAAGTTGAACCTACCAGATTTTTGAAATATCAATGTAAAATACATACCTCACTTTACCTATACATGGTTCTTTAAAAAAAAATCTTTGTTTCTGTGTGGTGTGCATGTGTGAATGCATGAAGGTCAGAGGACAACCTTGGGTGTCAGTCCTTGCTTTCCTTGTTTAAGACTGCATCTTTATCATTATTTTTTCTTTCTTCAGACTATGCCAGGCTAGCTGAAGCTCAAACTTCTGGGAATCTGAAGGTTTTCCTGCCTCTGCCTCCCACTGCTCTACATAAGCACTGACTGGGATTACAGATGTGCAAGCTATTTTGTCTGGTTTTATATGGGTTCTGGGGATTCAAACTTAGGACCTCACATTTGCCAAGCAAATGTTTTGCCCACTATGCCATCTTCCTCAGTCCCTGTTTTCAGTTTAAGGATTACAACCAATAGTGTGCATGTGAGTATGGATTATGGAGATATTTGAAGTGCTTTTGAAAAACTCTCAATAATTAACTGCTATATAAAATAATCTCCTTCAATAACAGGGGGCAGGTTAGAGAAATAGTGATGATATAATTGCATTTTATATCATAAAAGCATGTAAAAAGGTAGGTCTTACTCTTACTTGCAGGTTCTCTAGTAATTTTCTTACTGGAACCTATCAATAATCTAAACAGTATTGAAAGTGGTTTACTGGATGCTCACAGCCATCAGCAAAGTAGGAAAACTTTGAATTGTTCACAAAACATGTCGCCAGCCAAGGCCAATTACAGCAAGGCTCTGCTTGCTGCTTTCAGCTCTCATACTGTAAAAGTGCTCTTTGCTTTTTCTAGTTACTAGTATGCATTCCTGAACTCCTTGTAGAAATAGATGGGTTTCATTGATCTTTTGATACATGTACAACACATGCTTTGCTCACACCTCATACAAGTGTGTATATGTGTCTTCCTTTCCCTCCTCTATGATGGGGATCAAACACTCTACCACTGAGCTACATGCTAGCCATAAGTATGCATTTTGTGGTCTACCTAGTACCATGCACTTTTCTGTTTCTGTTGGTGAGTGGTTCCCAAGTGTAAAGTGTTGCCAGTGTCCCTAGGCCATGCTGTGACTTACAATGGATTAAGTTTCATCCAGGCATGAGGGCCACTGGCCATGAATCCAATGCTAATTAATATTAATAAACACTATATATTAAATAAGGTGTCTTTAAGTAGAAACACATAAAACAAGGTTATGTAATGATCAGATGATGACAATTTATGACCACAGGCTTGAGAGAACATAACCCCTTGTTTTCCTTAGGATCAAAGACTCAATGCTTGCCACAATGTTTAGCATCTGTTGGGTAATACAGAACACAATTAGAGTAACAGCAATCAACTTGGGTCTCTGGCTGTTTCCACATTAATGATAGCCACCTGTGTTATACACGCCTCTAACATTTCCAGTTAGACTGATAAGCTACCTTTATATTTCTGGAGTCTAACTACATTATAACTGCATGAGCCACTTATTTTCAGTCATTTTAAATATCAGATTGGGTGTACTGATTTAAATTAAACACAAACATAAAAACTTTGTTTCAAATGCATTCAAACTACAATATTATCGTGTCTGTTAAGAGGCTCTATTAATACTGCTTGCATGAATAATGACAGTAACAGTTTCATTACTATATATATATATATATATATTTTTTTTTTTTAACTTTATAATCCAGCAGTGATTATGAAAAGGCTTATCTTTTACCAGCTGGAATCATACATCGAAGCTCAATAAATTAAGAGTTTGGTAGCACCTGCTGAAGATATGGCTACAACCACAGTCAAAGCAATCAGTCAACTAGGTTATAAATACCTTTTTACGTGAATCTGCCCTGCCAGGTCAGAAGTAATTTATCTAATGGAGTCAGTCTAATTTATTTAGTGGCAAAAAAAAAAAAAAAAAAAAAAAACTCTGAACGTAAACCTCAGGCAACCATGAGAATGGAATCAGGGAGGCTAACCTATAGCACATTGCTCCAGATTATAGTACATTACATTTGGGAATGCTGGGAATGCATGGAATCAAGCCAGCAGGTCGGGGGGCACACTTTCACCTGGATAATATAAATGTGGATGAGAACCCCATTCCTGCTGCTTAATGTTCAAGCTGTGGAAGTGCCTTCTGTGGTTATTTTTAAACCTCTTGATCTTTTGTTATTGTTGTGTTTTGGCATTCTGTTTTTCCCATGACCTACAACCACTGTCAAATCGCTTTAAAACAGCTTGCTCCAAGTAGAGGTTGAAAAATTGCATGTGAAGGAAGGGAAGAGCCAAGCCAAAAGAACAGAGGAGGGGGCGTTGCCCTGCAAGGCTAAGTCCCTGTCTAGTTTCTGCAGGCTACAATTCTAAACTGAACTCACACAAGAGACTTTCATCAAATGTTCTGTAAATCTGTTCCCTGCTAGTTACTCTTAGGATCCTAAATTAAATCCTTAATATGGGAATGCCCTAGTTCTAATTGTCTTAAGATTTTATCAGCATCCCTTTAGGATGCTACTACTACAAATGCCAATAACTTTTCGAAAGCTTTATTTCCTAACACAAGAGTTCTTACAATTTTATTAACCTGTAATATCCAAACCCCCTTGAAGTCTGACCCAGTGGTATACCCTAGACATCGTACTGTAACATAATTTTATCGAGCACTGAACCCTGGGTAGTTTCTCCGTAGCCAAACATCTCTTTTCAGGCCGGTATACTGTTCCATTATACAAATGTATCATAATTAATATTTCACCAGTTCTCACTAATGGACCTTGGGTGGCTTCCAGATATTTACACACAATGCTGTACATCAACATCTTAAGCTGCTTCTAACAGTTCAGAGTTTGGATACGCCAGACAGTACCCAAAACTAGAAAGCACCAAAACTCTAGCTTCAGGTACAAAAATACCTAGCAATAATAAATTTCCATCAAATATAGAGCAGTGACTTTAAAATTTTGGTTTCACTTAGTACGGAGATAATGACAAACCAGGAACTGGGGGGCGGGGGAGTAGGGGCGAATGCGAGATGCTTAATGGGATTTGTGCTTATGGTTGTTTAAATTTGATTTAGTTGTTATCTCATTAGCCGGAACCTAGACTGAAATTTAGGGGCGAAAAAGTAACTCCTCTGACGCAGAACTTTAGCTACCTTGGCTTAGGGTACCGAATAATAAAAGCTTAACAGCTAAAGCTTTGAAACTTCAATGTGATTCTTTAGTGTTCCCCGGGGCACAAAGTTCGAAAACCGAGTTTAAAATGTGCACATGTACTTAAAAAATAAAGCACGACAAACGCCACCTCTACCAACGGAGCCTCCCTCTGCCGGCTCCGGCCTCCCTCCACCCCGCGGCCGGAGGGGCAGGGCCGAGGCCGGCTCCCCGCAGCCGCCCGTCCGCCGGGAAGGAGCGGCTTCCAGGCCGGCCTCCCGGCTCTCACCTCAGCTCCTCTTCGACGGTCCGGCGGGGCTGTTCGGCCGAGGCCACCACCGGGGAAGCCGCAGAGGTCTTGTTCTTCAGGATTCCCTTGATGGGCCGGTGCGAGGCCGTCGAGGCCGCCATTGCCGGTCGCTCCGGCTGTCGGCTCAGGGTCGCTGCTGGCGTGGGGTCCTGGAGGAGAAGGGGTGGGCGCTGCAGAGACCCTCCAGGCAGCCGCGGAGCCCAGGCCGGGCTACAGCAGCCTCACCCGCTGTCGCGGAAACCACTACCGGCGTCACCGTCACGACACAATGACCGCAACGCCACAGCCGACGCCGCGCGGCGGGCGGCCCTCAGCCGCCGGCAAAGGAGACCGCGGCCCGCGGAGGAGGCCGGACTTGTGCCCCGGCGCGGGAGCGACGCGGTCACCCAAGCCAAGCTCGGCCCGCTCTCTCGCGATATCTAGAGAGGGGCGGGGCGAAAACGAAGACAAGCCCTTCAGCCCCGCCCCTCATCGCCCCGCCCCGCCCCGCCCCGCCGCTCCTCTGAGATCGCAGGCTCAGTTGCCTCTGCACTGCGAGTGAGTGTGTAAACATTCGACGAAGAGTGTGCTGGCTGCTGTACATATTTGCAGGGCATATTTGCAGAGCGGTCAAGCACTCTCTCCCATCGCCATATGAGGCCTTGTTGCTATTTCTGTTTTATGCCAGAAAACTGAGACTCGGTGAGCTCACTCCCCAAAGATAAGAGCCCTTAGCTGACTGTGAACGATACAGCTCCCACTTCTATTTAACCTTCGTAATAATTACTTTCTCTTCTTTTCTTTCTTTCTTTCTTTTTTATTTTATATTTATTTATTTTTGAGACAGGGTCTTTCTATGAGGACCAAACTGGTCTCGAACCCATAGAGATCCACCTGCCTCTCTGTCTTTTGAGTGCTGGAATTAAAGGCCTGGGCCACCACACCCAATCCTTCACGATAATTTAACTCCCTATTGTAAAATCATGGAATATCAGTATTGGAATGCTCCTCAGAGACCATTATGAAACCACACAACAGTCACTTTTAAGACATCTCAGAAAGCCTGCATTGGAATGACCATTGGAGAAGCTGATGGACAGGGAGAGAAGAAATACTGCTGCTTCCATGCAGCCTGTCTATAGTATATGAAGAAGGATACAAGACAAAAAGCCAGGGGAGCCATTTGTCACACATTCAAACTCTCAGTGCCCTCAGAGGGAGCCAAATTTCCTGCACCTGATTTAGGAATTCAGGCCTCCAGAATATTTCTATTGCTAAAAGCTTCTCGGGTGTGAAAACTGTCTAACCACCTTCACACCATCCAGCTGTTTTCCACACCTCTCTCCTGCTCAGACTTCTCAGTGACCTATGACAGGCTAGAGCAGACTAAGGCACCTAAGTGCTACCTTCTCAGGTTCACCCCACCTGCTGGGATCTGAGGGACTGCTAGGAGTTTTGTAGGGACTTTGTCACAAGGATGTACATACCTTGACAAGGTTATTCAGCCACTAGGGAGGGCACACCTCACTCCCTTCCCCCAGCTCTGACTCAGGAAGCCTAGACAGAGGAGATTCCCAAGGCCCCTGTCTGCTGGATAGGGAGAGGCAGTGGTAATCTCAGAATGAGACTTCTGCTTTGGCGTCTGGAAGACAGTACTGTTTGCTGGCTTTAGGACTCTGTTCCTGGGAACCGCTTCAGGTTTCCTGAAAGGGTTCAGATTTTCCTGGCTGGCCCCTGGCTGTGTTCCTGCCAGAGGAAGGCCTCAGAAAGGGAAGGGAGATATTGGAGGGGAAGTGCACAGGAAGGTGAGCAGGGAAGAGGTTTTGCTGGTCATAGAGCTGAGTGTGTCCTGGGGTTTCTGAGGCAAAGCTGTGACAGCAGTCCTTGGCTTGAGGCCCACCTCTGTTCCAGTGCAGTCCAGTGTTTCCTACTGCCCTCCTCCCTCCGGCGACACTCGGATCTTCCAGGACATCTTGTGGTAGATAGAGCCTTTCAACCAGTTCTAAACCAGGAGCAAGCGTGTCTCTAGCCCAGGGAAGCAGCATGCTTCCTCTAGAGCTTGTGTGGTCCCTCCTGTCCTGTGAGAGCCTAGCTCAGCACTGACAATCTTGTTTTCAAGCGAAGACACAAAACTTCCTCTTCATGTTCATAATTATTGGGTCATTCCCTTTGTTCCTGCTTGACCAAACTGAACTGTGACTAGGCTCATAATTAAGCATTGTCTGGCTTGGAGAAAGGAAGCTCTCCATCAAACAGGGCTACCACAGCTAGACATAATGTGTTTTATTACAGTAAGCTAAAAGTCACTGGATTGGAAGGTGAGTTCTCTAAGGAGCCTTGGAAAAATCTTTCCCTCATCAAAGTTAAATTTCTGCTTCAATTCTATTCTATGATTCCACTAAAAGTGAATACGGATGACAGTTCCTTAATCAGAAAACATCATGGGAGTTCGGCTACAAGATTCTGAGCACCTGTGCATATTTACCCTGTATTTTAGGACACTTTATTACTCAGTATAGCCAAAAGCTCTCCAAATACCTCCAAACAGCTCTCCCTCCCCGTTCCTCCTGTGAGCTTGCTCTTGGAGGAGGGCATCTGGACCAAGCAGTACATATACCACATGTGATAGTATTTGTGCTACATTTCTGCCTGATGGCTACGAAATGGAATCTTCTGTTTTAGATTCCGTTTCTGGAAGTAGCTTTTAAGCTCAAGGCAAATCCCAAACACCATTTTAGAAAACTTTAGGGCCAGTTCAGCAGGTAAGGCACCTACTGCCAAACCTGACCTGAGCTTCATCCCCAGGACCCATGTGGTGAAACTCCCATGTGGAAGGGAAGCAACTCCCACAAGCTGTTCTCTGACATCCACACACACACATCCACACACACACACAGCACAGGATTGTCTGCCCGTCATTTTTGCTCTTGTTTAAAGATTTTATGGTGGTTGCCTGGCCCAATACAGCATATGGGAGGGGAAGAGCTCTACTTTGAATATACCTCCTTAGCACATGACTGGGATCAGTTGGCTTTCTGTTCCTTGGAAGGGACTGCTAAGGCCAACAGCACTGGAATTCCCACTGAGAGCAGAATTGTAAATTCCAAAGCTGGAAATGGCTTTAGCGGGTGGTTCCATCCTGGTTACCTAAGCCTCATGTCCAAGAGTCGGCCTCAGGTCCAGGAGAGTGCCCCACCTCAACCTCTGAAAAATACACAGTGGTTATGACTTAATGATGCTGACTCAGCTCTTTGCCAGGAATAGCATAGCATCCTTTTTCTTTTCAGGTAATTCCTCCCTGGGCAGGAAGATCACAGATTTTGCAGGGGCAACATTATCTGACCAAAATGCAAAAAGTGTTAGGAAGAGAGACAGAGCCCCCAAGGGTGCCAGAACAAAGATGAATTGTTCTCTGCCTGAGAAGTAGCTTTGATGTTTCTCTGTGGGACTCTGTATTGATGCTCTTCAGAGACAGAGTGCCAGCTTGGGTGTAGCCAGGACACAGCACATGCCCTTTCAGGACACAGCTTTCATTGGTTTCTGTGTGCTTTCTGACCCTTTATAAATAAGCTAAGTCCACAGAATCTGGACAAGTAGCTCTTTTCTATGCCTGAGAGGCCAAAAGTGGAAAGAGGAGGAGTAAGCCATTGTGATTTGGGGAGTGGTTAGCAAGAGATGCAAATTTGCGTTTTGGCTAAACCGAATTATCTTGTGCTGGCTGGAAATCACTCTGGTTTTCTTGTTGTTGTTTGTAATTGAAAATTTTCCACAATTATTCACAGATTTGGTTTGTAAATTCCTGAAAAAAGTAAGCAAACAATGACATGCTGTAGTTTCATTTTGTCAATTTGGCCAGATTTGACAGCGTTTTAATATTCTAGAAACTCATAATGGGATGAGGAATAGACTTTGGTTTCAAATACAGAGGCTGGGGTGTTGCTGGGGGTGGGGATATGTTCTGGGTTCTGTTAGGAACTAGCAGCCAGCTGACCCCGCCCGACGATGGCCATGTCATCACTACATCAGCCTTACCTGTCGCCTCAAGCTTTACCTGGCTGTCAGAGGACTCAGTTACGCATGCACAAGCCCCCCTTTTTAAAGCAAGAGCGCCAAGCGCCTGTGTGTCTCTCTCTCTCTTCTGCTTTCGCTTGGCCACCAGCTACCCCCCCCCCCCCCCCGCCTTCTCTCCTCTCAATAAACTCCACGTGGGCGCTGAGTCTCATGTTTGTGTTTCTTAGGCATTAGCTGCAGCAAAAGAACAACAGGTTCCATCCCCAGTACCATTCCCATCTACTCAAGCAACACTTACAGGACTGGTGAGGTGGCTCAGTGACTTAAGACATTTGCCATGAAACCTGGTGACCAGAGTTGACTCCAGAGACCCACATGGTGGAAGGAGAGAACTGACTCCCAGTTGTTCTCTGGCCTCCACATGCATGTTATGACATACATGTATGTGTGCAGAAGAGGATACATGTGCACACACAATAAAAATGTAAATAAAATCAAACAGCAAACCCAGAATACTTGTGATGTGGGTATGAATACTTCAGGGAGAACATTAAATGTTTGAAGCTCACAAAGTAAGTGGGTTTTTGCTGTTATTGTTTGATTTTGTTTTGTTTGAATCTTTAGTTTTCCATTTTTATTTTAAGAGACAAGCTACATTTTAGTAAATTTTTCTTCCCCCCCCACCCCATTGAGACATAGTCTTACTATACAGCCCTGGCTGGTCACTATGTAGACCAGCCTCTGCCTCCCAAGAGCTGGGATTAAAGGTGTGCACCACCTCGCTTGGCTAGCCTATCTCTAAGTCAAGAGTTATGATCTTTGACCCATTGCTCAATCCATTTTGAGATTTGGTTAATGTTATCTTCTAGCTGTTCTGGTTCATTACAGGGCAGCTGATGCACAATTTCTTCTCTGTAAGATGCTCTGGTTCATAAAGAACTTGAAAAATCTCACACTGAATGTTGTCTCGTAGTTTCTTCTCATTATAACCCCTTGTTTCAAGTCTTTTGTACAGTATACTATTATCTGTTCTCAACATAAAAACTATATGAAACCAGCATTCAGGAAAGAAATCACAACCATGGTAATCAACAACAACGCCGCCTTCTCTCATTCTCTAACTCATGGATGAACTCTATCTTCATCTAAACTGTATTCTTCATCGTAGCCATCATATAGCTGCCCTCCTCGAGCTAAATCACCCACATTAACGTACTTCAGTCCTGATCTTGATGCAAGTTCTTTGCCTACTGTGGTTTTTCCAACCCCTGGTGTACTGGTGAGCAGGAGATTTGGAAGCTTCATAGTTCTCCCTCCCAGGCCACCAGTGCTCTGGCTCACGTGCCCAATGCACTGTCCAGGGCCACATGGTCAATGTTTACAGCA